GAATGATTTATAAGTGAAAAAAATTACAAATTTAATTTGTTTAACTTTTAGATTGAAGTTTGTGTGATATTTATATGTTCATTTATGAAAAAATTTCACTAGTAGTCCCGTCAGAACTATCTAAAATAAAGTTATGTTGCTAGTATCAAGTTTTATGTCCGATAAAGAGTAATTTTTAAATTTATAATATAGTGCTCTTAAGCTTTTTTAAAATATAATTTAATTTTCAATACCAGTGTATCATCAATGAGAAACTTCATTGTCATATGTATATTGTGGAGACGATAATTCCTAATTTATTCAAAGTTCATCTTCTAATTAGCACTTTAGGAGAAATTCATGTCTCGATAAGGATATATTAGACTATGACACCGATAATTTTGATGAAATTAAATTAACAATATTTAGTAGTATTATTGCGTGAATAATGAACTATTTACTAGCTTTAAAGAAAATGTATTGTTTGAATTTATTGGCTTTTGATTTCTTGAAAGTTTGGCTAAAGTATTTAGCAACATTAAACTTTTGATGTTTAAAGTTGATATTATTAATATTTTTCATTCAAATGTAATTAATAAAGGGGTCAAATATGCTATCTATAAAGGGGTCAAGTCATAAGGAAGTAAGTATTGCACATAAGGTTGTGAATTTTAAGGTTAAGAATAATAATGAAGACTTTTGCAAATTGGTTTATAAAACTAGAGGAGTTTCTCCCTCTCCTGGTTTAACCCTCTCCAAGACTACGAATGTGGCTACATGTAGACAACTAGTCTCAAATTAGGCTTGAAACTTGTTGACCAGGATGTGATATGAATCAATAGAATTACAGGGGAAAAGTATTGCATCATGGTAAGGAAAATTTTGCACAAAATGACCTCCCTTGCTTGGTGTAAAGGGTAACTTGTGTTTCATATATTTTCAAATGTTCACCTGAGTGTGTTCAACCATCACGTTTATCGAGAGTAAATGATTTTCATGTTAGTGGAAGAGGTATTTCTTTGATTTTGAGAATAAAAGGATGATCATCATCTTCTTTGTACACATCAATTTGATGAGTGTTTTGATAATGTATTGGAGAATTGCGTCAGATACCAATTCCTTTTTGCTATTCTTTTATGATTCTCTCATGTGTTTTGATGAGGGGCTTTCTGCTACTATTGCACTAAGCTATTTAAGTCTGATTTCATGTGTTTTGAGGAGACTTTATACTAGGTGCCACCGATTGTTGGGTTGGTGCTCACCTACATTTAGTAGTATATTTCATATGTGGATTGTCTTACTTTTGTTTAGGACTTTTAATTCATTACTTAAAAGTTTTAATTTTTAACTTGATTTTATGTTATTTGAGAACAAATTTTAAGTCCTTATCCGCTATCTTTTGAATCATTAAAAACTTTTTCTCATTTTATTGTTGTAGGTATGTTTATATTTATGTTATTTATAAACAGTTATATTCTAATAATATTATTATAGTCAATTAACACATTTAATATATTGTTCTTGAAACTCTTATTTATCTCAATTTTATCCTTAAAAACACATTAATGAATTAAGAAAACAGATATTCATTTCAATTTTATCCTTCAATAAACAATTTTTAATCTTCATTCATAATAAATATGAAAGTTACAAATGTATGAAAATGTAACCTCTTAAACAACTATTAATAGTAAAAAAAGATTAAAACCCTATTTTGACTCCAACATTTCCTACTAAATTGGAAGAATTCACAATTATAAAATGTAAAAATTATAAGAAAATAAAAAAAAAGTTCACAGTCAAAATATATTTTCACACTCAAATTATTATTAAATGTATAACATTAAATTATTGAAAGAAAAAATAGTATAAAAAGATAAAAATAAATAAAGTAATAATATATTAAATAATAACTTAATAAAAAAAATTGAAATAATTAATTTTAAATAATTTCTTTAAAATTATTTATAAATCATCAGACTGTATTATATCATGTATTTACACATGGTCAAATTTCATTAAAGTCTTCGAATTTTTATTTGGTAATTAATAACAAATAATAAGTTTACTTTAGTAATTAATAACCTAAATTATCATACTTTTTTACTAAAATAATATTATTATATTATATATATATACGTAACAGAACCTCCGATGAAATTATTTACTTAACTGAACCTCTCATAAAATTATTTACTTAACTGAACATCTTTTACTCGTTATACTTGGAATTAAGGAACCTTTTTTATTGTTGTAGTTGGAATTAGGTTTCCGTAAATCGAATTCCAACTTTAAACTTACTATTTTTTTTTAAATAAAAAATTAAATAAAATATATAATTAAAAATAATAAAATTAATATTAAAAATAAATTTTTAATTTTAAAATTTAAATAATATTTATATAAAAAATAATATATTATTTAAATATATTTAAATAATTATTAAAAATATTAAATAATAATTTTTTATTATATTTTTTTTATTTTTGAATAGGAAATTTAAAATTTATATATTTTTTTATTATATGAATTATTTAAGTTATAATTTTAGAAAAAAATAGAATAAATAAAAATTTAATTTAGGTAATATATTAAAAAATTAAATATTATATTATATTATAAAAATTTATGTAATAGTTTTTATTTGATAAATTAAAAATATTATATTAAAAATTTCATGCTAAAATTAATTTTTTTAAATAATAAAGTAAAAATATTATTTAATTAGTTAAAAATAATTATTATTAATATAAAATAAACTTAAAAATAAAAAATAATAAAAATTGACAGAATTTAATGTATAATATTAAAAATAACATAATCATTGATAATAAAAATTGAAAAATAAAATTATTGACAATAATATTAAGAAAATTTGTATCTCAAAAGTGGTGTCCAGTTCCACAACGAGGACGACGTCTATTACGTTTTAGATTTCGTCAGTGTTGTTGTTCTTGAATTTCAGGAGAAATTTGTGGAGGGTTTTCTTCTTCATAAACCTCTATTATTTTCACTCTATAAAAATATTTCTACATTTATTATTTTTCTTTAATATCATGTTCTATGATTTTTATTTTGCTACTAATAACTTATTTTTAATTTTACTTTTAATATTTTATATATTAAATTTATCAATTTTTTTCTAAAATTATAACTTAAATAATTCATATAATAAAAAAAATATAAATTTTAAATTTCCTATTCAAAAATTAAAAAAATATATAAAAAAATATAATAAAAATTTATTATTTAATATTTTTAATAATTATTTAAATAATTTAATATATATTTATATAATATATTATTTTTATTATTTTTTATATAAATATTATTTAAATTTTAAAATTAAAATTTTATTTTTAATATTAATTTTATTATTTTTAATTATATATTTTATTTAATTTTTATTAAAAAAAGTGGTAAGTTTAAAGTTGAAATTCAGTTTACAAGAAACTAAATTTTAAGTACAACAATAAAAGAGATTCAGTTAAGTAAATAATTTCATGAAAAATTTAATTAAGTAAATAATTTTATCAAATGTTCTGTTATATATATATATATATATATATATATATATATATATAATGTAATAATATTATTTTAGTAAAAAAATCAAATTATCAACGTCATTATTTTAATATTAATCTAAGCATTGTATACTTTTTCTTTAAAAATACCACGAATTATATTCATCCCGCACTTTTTTTCGCAATTAAATTAATTTAAAATTTGTAAATACCTAAAAGATCAATTGTAAAACAAATTACCAAGTGGCAAGTTTTATAGGTCATGTAAGTACTAGAATTTAATGTTGAGTGTTATTTTAGTGCAAGTTACACAGACAACCACGAAATCAAACATGCGTGGACGAAAATTATTTACTAAGGACCTATTTGAATGATTTTAAATATTAAAAAATGAGATTTCAGTTTTATGATTTCTTTTTATTATTGAATTTTAACTGATAAATCACGATATGGCTATGGAAAGGAATCAAACTGATAATATTTAATCCACATAGAAACTACTTTTAGAAATAAACAGAGAAAATTTACATATCCAAAAATTAAATGATGTATTTAATCTAAAATTTTTTAGATGATTTTGTCTCATCATCCAAATTGTTAAATACTATTTTAATGTTTTTATTTTTTATTTAGGATAATTCCAATAAAAAACTTTATATAAGTCGTATTTATTTTAAAATATAAAATATAAATTATATCGTTCATAAATAATTCACATTCAATTTTACTTTAATAAAAATAAATTTTAATAAAAAAATTAAGATTTTTCAATTAACTTCTTCCACACATAATTTTTTTTTACCATTATTCAACGAAATATCATTTAATATTCCTGAAATAAAACAACTAACACTTTAATCCAATTTCTATTAAAGATGATTTCAGCATCTTCTTTATCCTAGAAAATAATTTAATGCAAAACAAATATTAAAAAAAAAAAAAAAGAAATTTCCTAGGAAAGAGACAAAAAAAAAAACAATGAATAAAATAAAAAAAGACTCCTTTATTATACAGTCATGCATTGGAAAAACGCCACGCACTCATCTGAAAACATGGTGCAGTTTCTTCACAAGCCTTTGACCCTTCACACCACCCATTTTCATTGAAACTTCCACTCTCTTATAAATATTCCTCAATTCCTGCGCCAATATAATTGGACCGAGCCTTCTCTTTCCCAACCCAATTCAGTTCTTCACTTCTCCCAATACCATTTTCCAGAACTCACCTTCACACTCAAACTTTATCCATGGGGTTTTATCACTGATAATCTCATCCCCTGTGAAATCTGCCTCACCCACTCTCCTCTTGCCATGTCCACCACAGATCCTTGGTCCTTCTTCTTATTACTCTCGTTCACCCAGTCCCTCGTCTAATGAAAACAAAACCTTGCATAACTATTTCCTCTCACAACTCCCACATTGCTTACAAACCTAAACCAAAAGCAATTTATATACCTCCAGTTGTGCTAAGGGGTCGCTTATTTTTGTGACGACCATGCAGTTCAGGCTAGGCAAGCGCGTCGCCCGGGTTGCCGCATGGGTCCTTCGTCGGGTCAGAATCCGATCCAGATACCACCGCCTCGGATCCTCTCCTTCGCGGAACTGTTATAATATTAATCCCATGACGAAGCTTCTCACGTGGGGGAGAAAGTTGAAGAGAGGAGCGAGGTCTCTTTGCAATAAATCCGGGTCAGGTTACCTCCCTATCGGGTCGGGTTCCGTTTGCGAGAGGACTCCGGCAGTGCCAAAAGGGCACTTGGCGGTTTACGTGGCGGAGGACGACGGTGAGTGTCGCCGTGTTTTGGTGCCCGTGATTTACTTCAACCACCCCCTGTTTAGCGATTTGTTACGGGAAACGGAGAAGGAATTCGGGTTCGAGCACCCCGGTGGGATTACGATTCCATGCCGACTCACCGAGTTTGAACGGGTCAAGACCCGGATCGCCTCCGGTTCGGGTTTACGCGGGAGGACCCGGAGATTGGGGTGGCGGCTACATTCTTGACCTGATCTACGATGATGACGACAGAGTTAATTTTTTTTTGTTCTATTAGGTTAGAGTTATTGTTTTTTGTTTCTTTCTCATTCTATTCTTGGGGTGGTATTGTGTTCTGGTTGTTTGGGTTTTTTTTTTTTTTTTTTTTTATTAGAGAGGTTTGAACATAAGGTAGAACTAGGGATACTATATGTATAAATTGAATTCTTACAATATCACCTCAAGAAATACTTTATTTATCCGAATAAAAACTTGAGCAATCTGAATTTTGAACTATTACCATATACAATTATTTGTCTTTATATGGTCTTTCTTTACGTTGACAATAATGTATTGATAGCTAATAGCGATTGGTTTTTGTTAAGAAAATTCTATCTGCACTAATCTAAATAGCGTTCATTTTATGGTATGATTTTTTGAGGAATTATATCTCTTGGACTATTATATGCATGTGTCTTATAAATGTTTAACATAGTATTGAGTAACCTTTATTAAAAATAAAAGTAAAATAAAAAAATACAGCATTTCCACAATAAATCTAACTAACTTGGATAATATCATGTAATAATTTTTTTCTAAAATAAAAAATGTCAATTTTACTGTTGTGATAAGTTAATAATTTTAAATTTTAGAAAAACTTTTTTATATAAAAATATTATTTTTAAAATAATTATTTAGGGTTTAAGATATTTAAATATTAGTATTTTATTTTTAATCTTATAAGATCGTTACTTCTTTTCTTATATATAAACTAGAATTATTAATATTTTTAGATATATCTCTTACATAGTTCAAATTTTTAAGTATCAATTGTAAAAATTAACTTTACTTTTAAAACATAAAATATTTCTATTACTTCACTACTACAAAATATACTTTCTACATCGTCATTTAACGTCGGTTATAGCTGAGACGACGTAGAAAATACTTTCCACGTCGGTTCCCATATGAACCGACGTTGAAAGTATTTTTTTTTTTACTTATTGACACTTTCCACGTCGGTACGTGGAAAGTTAAGATTCGAACCCAGTACTTTAGAGATACTTTCCACGTCGGTTCCCATATGAACCGACGTTGAAAGTCTTTTTTTTTTTACTTATTGACACTTTTCACGTCGGTACGTGGAAAGTTAAGATTCGAACCCAGTACTTTAGAGATACTTTCCACGTCGGTTCCCATATGAACTGACGTTGAAAGTCTTTTTTTTTTTTACTTATTGACACTTTCCACGTCGGTACGTGGAAAGTTAAGATTCGAACCCGATGACTTTAGAGTTGGAAGTCGATACTCCAACCACTAAACTATTAGAATTTTTTGATAATAACTTAAAAATAAATTATATTTATATACAAATAAATATATATCCATGTAAATATATTTTTATTTGTATATATTTTCTAGAAAGTATTTTTATTTTTTTTTTCAGCCAAAAATTCTCTTAAGTTAATGAATTGTCACTGATAGCATTTGAACTCGAGTATTTTAGGATTGAAAGTTAATATCCCAACCACTAAACTACTATAATTTTTTGATAATAACTTACAAATAAATTATATTGGTATTTTGCGATCGAGGGTGAAAGTGTGATTGACTCTTGCTTGAGTGAAAATATGTTAAAGCTCACGGAAATTCACTCACTCAAGTCTCGCTTGAGCGAAAATTGGTATTTTTCGCTTGAGAGCAAATAACGCGTTTCCCAAATTTATTTTATATCATTATATAAATAAAATTATAAAGATTATATTTTGTCATTAAATTACAAACTCATATAAAGATACCTGCTCACAAATTTAGCATCAAATTTTGAAAACCCACTCGACACACACTTTCACTTTCGAGTGTGCCCTCACATCCAACATATAAATATATCAAAATATATAAATATATTTGTATTTATATATTTACACGGATATATATTTATTTGTATATAAATATAATTTATTTGTAAGTTATTATCAAAAAATTCAAGTAGTTTAGTGGTTGGAGTATCGGCCTCCAACTCTAAAGTACTGGGTTTGAATCTTGTCAATGACAATTCTCTTAAAAAATTAAAAAACTTCTAAAAAATATAATATATAGAGATGGAGGACCTTAAAATATAATATAAAGAGAGGGGAGACTTCTAGATAAATAAAAGGGGAGTAAAGGGATTGTAAATAAATAAAAATTATTAATTTAAAAAATCATACTTTCAACGTCGGTTTGTTAGAACTGACGTTGAAAGTTACGACTTTCAACGTCGCCTGATACAATGTCGGTTGTTGAACCGACGTTGAAAGCCTTCCAGAACCGACGTTGAAAGCTTTATTTGTAGTAGTGCTTGATGATTGATAATACTATACAAAAATTTATATTTATTGAATTTTTAACTCTTTAGCTTTATATTATACATTTTATTTATACACACATAAAGATATTTTACTTCAATAACTTTGTTGTTTGAACAAAATACTTATAGAATTCAACTCAATCTATTCCATTTCTTTTTGTTTGAGCAACCTCACATTATGAATAAGTAAAGTATTATCAGAGATTATTCATTTTATCTTATATTGCTTGAGCGATAATATGGTTGATTGAGCAAATTTTAAATCTAAATCTTAAATTTTAAGTTCTAAACTCTAAATAAAACCAACTCACTTTCTTCCTTCTTTGTATTTGACTTGAGTGACCTACTTTTATTTGAGCGACTCGTTGTTTGAGTGAGATACATATCGATATATTTCCCCTCTTTTATAAGTCGTTTGAGAAACTACTTATTGTTTGAGTAAGACACTTACAATGTTAATTTTCTCTACCCATGTCCTTTTCACTCAAAAGACATAACTTTTACATAAAATGAGTTGTCACCATTTGACATATTGATGAACTCATTTTATCAAAAAAATCATTAATGTATTTCATCTATATTTAGTATATTTATTTAATTAATTATTAATTTTTAACATAGTTTTTATAAAAAGAAAATAAATATTTATTAATCTAATTGATTGCTTAAATTATACATTTTAACTAATTATTTATTTAATTTTATATGAATAATAATTAATAAAAATATAAAATTTTATCTTGAAAAATACACTTAGTGCTTATCAATTTTGTTCAACGAATTTCATCCAATTGTATCATTTTTTTTGCTACCAATTCGCTCCAGTGAAGGAACCATCCACTAAGCAAAAATATCTTTATCGATCAACTATTTATCTATCACAACCGCTCAACAAATTCCAATCCTCTTAACAAATTTGTTCACTCCATTGAGCAAATTTTAATCCACTTAGTGAATTTGTGGCAACATCTCAATATGCAAAAACACAATTCAAGTTCCATGTTATATAATTGATTAATTATGGATGTTGAATGGACCTTGCATGTCTTGTACATGATTGTTGTACAAATAGGTCTGAGAAAATAAAAAGACATAAATTATCCCCAAGCTTGCTTCACTTAGGAGTAAAATTTAGATTTTCTCTCTACTTTTCTCTCTTTTCTGCCTCATGTTCTTAATGTAGTTATTCTCCTCTTATTTTTTTAGTTTCTTGTATGAATTATGTTTCGAAAGTTGATCAATTCAAAAGATTTGACACATATTTGTTTTCATTGTTCTTCTTTTCTTCATTTTTTTTTATTTTCTTCTTCTCTTTATTGTTTTTTTACATTTTCTACCTTTTTATTACTATTTTTTGTTCTTTACTATTGTTGCATGATTTAAATTTATTTTAAGGTTGATTCACCTATTAAAACTGGTTTCTTATGATTTAAATTTGATTTTTAACCATTCTAATAAATTATAATCCATTATAATAAATATATTTAAGATTATTTGATTGAATATATCCGTTGGTAATTTCTATCGATAATCACTTCGGTAACTTTAATCGATAATCAATCATTTTTTATGACTACATATCCATTAGTAATTAATGATTTTCTTATAGTGTCAATTTCTGACTTTTTTACCCTATTTTAAATTATATATATATATATATATTTTTTTTTTTCAATGTAGGTATATTATTATTGCATAAGCCAAAGTAGATACTTCCACTCCAATATTTGAGCAACATCCACACTTAAATAAAATAATTTAAATTGCTAATAGATTTTTTTTCTTAACTTAAGAAAAATCCAAAAAACATTTTAAAAAATATAATTAACTTATCCGTTCTAATTTTTATCGGATATCAAGTTTCAATAAAAATAACTTAAAATATGTTTAATTAAATTATATTTAACTATCTTCCAATAAACATAAATTAAATTAATAATAGCTCAAACCAATATAGTCCAATTGTTCTTGTATAATCCAATAAGCCCATTTTAACTATATATCTCCTCATTTAATGAAAATATTATTGTATGATTTGCTAAAAGAATGGAGTTAAGAAAACCATTTTTGATTAGTTGAAGAGGTAGAGTGCAAGATAGAGTAAAAGTAAAACCATCTTTTTGGATGATTAAAGAACAGTAATTAAAGAAAAGACCTGAGAGTTAGTGGTAGCAAGTAAGAAAAAAGACCCAACAACTTCAAAATATCAACCTTTTTTTTCAAATTAAGGGTGAATTTATTATTTTTCCTTTTTTTTATTTAGTTTACTCCATTGAATATTATTAAAAAAGTTAACTTTATTCCATGACCATGATGTTGCAAAATTGAATCAGTATTGTTCTTTGCTACTCTAGTTCTCTCTCATAAACATACTTTCTTAATTAACTTCGTTGAAAAATTGACTGTGTTGTAAAGATTACGTAATTAAATTAATTTTTTCATATTCTCCTTCTCATAGTGGGTCTAGTCACCCACACGTATATTAATTCACCCTTTAATCCAGTGTTAAGTAACATTTAGAAACTAACCACTAAATTAAGAATGAATGTAATCATGCTGATTCTTCGCATGATCATAACAAAAAATTGATTGTATTTTATAATTTTGAATCCATTGCTCAAAGGATGAGTAGTGCGAGATTATAACAAAACCTATCAAATAAGTATCTTGTTTGACCAAT